GACTTAACTAGGTAGCGGAAACACAAAGCTGCTTAATTAAGTGATTAAAACGATCTCTTTGATGTAATACATGCAAGACATTTGAGAATTTACCTGACTCTCCTAAACAGCCAAGTCAGTGGGGATTAAAACAAATGAGCTTTCCGTCTTGCTTTCTGCCAATCAGCTTAATACGACGTGGCTTTGAAAAATCAGGAGCAAAGCTGTCATCGTAACCAGTCTTTAAGTCACTTTGGTCATCTGTGTAAAAATTAGACACTGTTTCAATGTCGCAGCCAAATAAAGCAGAATTATGTTCGGTTCTGTGCTTGCCACCAGCCCTATCAAGTTGTAGTGTACCTTGTGGAAAGTTCTGGGAAGGAGGGGTGACTTGAGTGTTTAAATCACATTGTGTTTTACATTTCCAATGTTCCTTGTTTTTCAGAGTTTATTTGTGGTAGTTATTCTCTCTCTCTGTCTCTCTCTCAGTGTAATAATCCTCACTTTATGAACTCTCTGTTGTCTCCATAGAATTAATTGTAATTTTTTAGAGCTCTAGCCCTAAGACTTTAGGGCAGGGAATAAACTCCTCAGCAATTAAGATTTGTTGTATGTACATGTTAGTAATAGCAAAGAGCAAAACAAAAACACAAAGTAGCTAAAAATGCATACACATGCGCATACACGCTCTCTCCCCTACACTGTTCCGCATGAATCAATTTGGCAACCATTGTTGAGCGCTTGCTGTGTACTTGGCCCTGTGCTACCAGTTGAGGCAACTCAATGAACTGTCCCCTCTCACTGAATTGTCTACGTCAACACAGCAAACTGTGGCTCTTGGGCCGTATTTGGCATGCTGCTTATTTTTGTATGGCCCACGAGCTAAGGATGGATTGAACATTTTTAAATGGTTTGAAGAAATCAAAAGAAGAATGTATCATGATACATAAAAGTTATATGAGATTCAGATTTTAGTGTCTGTAAGTAAAGTTTTATTGGAACACAGACACAGCCATTCATTTATGTGTTATCTACAGCTGCTTTCCTGCGTACAGCAGCGGAGGTGAGTGGTTGGATTAACGACCATATGGCTGGCAAAACAGACTGTTTACTAAGTGGCCATTTACAGAAGAGGTTTGCTTAGGCTTGATCTAGGTGATTCAACTTTTCCTTTCCCAGTTCCTTTATTATTCCAATACTTCTTTCAACTCTCTCTTTCATTGTATTTGTATTAGAAGTAAATTTTTAAAAAGATTTTATGTACTTATTTGACAGAGAGGGAGCACAAGCAGGGGGAGGAGCAAGGGGAGAGGAAGAAGCACACTCCCCGCTGAGCAGGGAACCTGACACCACGGGGCTTGATCCCGGGACCCTGGGATCATGACCTGAGCCGAAGGCAGATGCTTAACTGACTGAGCCAACCCCAGGTGCCCCCCAAATCTGTCCTTTTTAAAAAATGGATTCCTGGGAGTGGAACAGGGAATTTGTTTTATGCCATTGGCCAGAATCTCCTTCCATAGCCAGTCCTAGCTGGAAAGGAAGCCGGGTGATGCAGCTATTTTTCGTTTGCTCCATTGTCATCCTGAGCAGAATTGGGGTCTGATACTAAGAGAAGGAAAGGACAGTGGATATTGGGTAGACAGTAGGCAGTATTTGCTTCAGAAAAGTAAGTACTTTGCCCAAGGCCACAGAGGTAGTGAAGATCAGCGGTGGCTCAAGCCTCTTCCTTTGAGGAAGGAGGTTTGGCTGTCATGTGCAGTCCCCTTCCAGAAGTTTGTGTGAGTAAGGGGTGGAAATGCATGCAGTGGTTACAGAAAACTCTGGCGTTTCCGATCAGCCACAAGCAGCCTAGGAAGTACCGTTTGCAGAACATGATATATGGTCCCTTCTCTGTTTATACCGCTCTTCTCTCAGTATTTGCCCTGGGACTTGCCTTTCCTTCTTGTCCATGTAACCAACCCAGGGGGTAATTGATTGCAGACCTCTCTCACCAATACTTTAACCTTTCAGCAAGCCATCAGATTGTTGGTGCTTCATTCATCTCGTTCATGAGAAGTTAAAAAGTGACGTGATCACTCTTTGCCTTTAAAGGGTGTATCAACCTTCATGCAGGAAAGTGAGTGCCCGTCCAAGTATATCAAGCAGGAAGCTGTTTAATACGGGCAACTGGGGGCTTATGCAATCTTTGGGAGGGCCGGTGAGTGAAGGGCCCCATCTCCCAGTGAAGTACTGCCCGCGCACAGAAGGGGTCTCCTCAGGAGACTGCCTGGAGGCCGTGGGCAGAGTGCTCTGTCTGCTGTCTGCAGGTGCCTCTGTGTCTGCCCATAGCTGCCAATGGCAAGTGAAGAAATGGTGTCTCCTCGTCTACCTTTCCAGTCTCCTCTGAGTGCTTCTCACTGGCAGATGCTGACCTGGAGCCATGCCCCATAGGATTTCTGGAGATGGGATTCTGAAGCTTCTCAGGGAAGAAAATAGAGTGGTGTGGGGTGGGCTGACGTGGAATTGACAACAGACTGACAGAAGGACATTTGAGTCTGAGTTTGAATGGAGGCGTACATTTGGGGAAGAAGAGCACGGTGTCCCGAGGTTGGCAGTGTTGCTACTAGTATTATTACCTTATTCTCTCTATGTGTCCTTGGGAGATGAATTTAGGGATTCTTTGTATCTCTCTGCTGACTCTGTTCAAGTCAAGGTATTGCTAAATAAATAATAAAGAGGATTCAGTGACCCGCATGTACAGTGTAGAAGGTAATATATTCTGTGAAGCTCCATCGTGCCGTGGGGGTCCCAGAACGTGAGGTTTGAAAAACAATGAATAATTCATCAGCATGCTCCAGAAAGACCAGTGTTCGGAAAAACAATTGTGGATGACTCAGCTTGTACATTTCTTCATTTTGGGGGGTAACTATCGGGAGCTCTTGATTTGCTCTACGTTATACGTGTGACTTGTGGTGAGCTCATAAAATACACTGAGGAATTAAGTACAGTGAGGGAAATGATACAGTGGTCTTGAAACAAGGTAACTTATAGACATAGGAGGTATTGTTTGGTGTTGAGGGAGAGTCATAACTGCTAGTTATCTGCTATCTAGGTCACATCGGGCTTTCAGTGTAACTCACAGGGTTTTGAAGGCAGAATTTGGTCTGTGCTATATTTGAGTCTGGAACAGCAAAACCCATTATGACTGTGTCCTATGGCACTTGTAAAATCCTCTCTGAGTCTTGAGTTTCAGGTTTCTGCTGATAATTTAATATTTGAATTATCTCAAGGAAGATAAGGAAACGCACTATCTTATTCCATTTATTTGTTGGGTGAGGAAAATTGAAAGGGACTGAAGGAAAGAACTCGTTACAAGAGCAGTGTGTGCAGGGGTCCCTGGTTTTGCTGTGCTGGAATAAAACCAACATGTTTGGGGTTGCCTGGTCTCTTATGTGGGGTCTTCTGGAGGCAAAGCTGGAGATGAAGATGCATGTGCAAGTGATTTAGGATTTATTTAGCAAGTGTTCCCAAGAGAGAGCAGCAAGGGTATGGGGGAGGCCAACCAGGGAAGGGTAAGGGACAGGCAAGTGTGTGATTTCAGGGGAAGTCTCAGACAGTCTGATCATTCAGAGGACCTCTGGAGTGCAAATTAGACCTCACGGTTTGTCCTAAATGGAGGCAAAGGAGCGGAGCTTCCGGACTCCTGCTACAGTCGATCATTGGCTGAAGGTTCCTGGGGTAGGTTGGGGTGGGGATGGGATCCGAAGGTAGAGAAACTCCCAGGAACTGTTTCACGCAGGCAAGGGGCTCCAGTAGCCCCAGGGCAGGCCTTCTAAGTGTCTGAAGTGCTGGCCATTAGAAAAGAAAAAGAACATTAGATGCTGGGGAAGGCTGTACAGAAGCAATGCTAGGGATCCCAGGGGGATCTGGGCAGCTCCTCCTTACCGTGTACTTACTCTTTGAGTAAGCCCCTCTTTTGTTTTTACGAAACCCAGAATCTGGGGAGAGGAAAGAGACACACTTTCACATGGAACTGTCAAGTTTCTCTGGAGCAAGAGTTGGCAAATCTTTCCTCTAAAGGGCCGGGTAGTAAATGTTGGAGGTTTTGTGGGCCACAGGGTTTCTGTTCCAGCGACTCAACTCTCCCCTTGTAGTGCACAAGCAGCCGCAGATTACGTGTTAGTGAGTGGTCTTGGCTGTATTCCAGCACAAGTTTGTAGAGCCGGAGGTGGTGTGCGGAAGAGAGGGGACAGTAGATTTGGCCCAGGGGCCATAGTTGGCCAGTCCCTGCTGTGCAGGCTCCTTGTATGTGCCTAAGGTGACTTTTCCTTCATCCATTCCCTTTATTCTACAGAGCACAGGGAGTCAGTAGTCCGTCTATCAAAAGGATAGTTATAGCACATCTTAAGTTAGTCTGGACCCCCTACTTCCAATCTTTCTAGCATTCCGGCCATCACTCTCAGTGTTGTGTGATAATCTTGCTGAAGGGTGACTCATCTCATTTTACTCCTGCTAAAAACATTTTGTTCTCTCCTATCTGTGAAAGAAAATACAGACTCTTCGCATGGCATTTAGGAATCCCTGTGAACTGGCCCAAACCAGTTTTCCTACGGATTGTGTACCGCTGTCCCCTCCTAGTGCTGCTCCTCTCTGTGTGATGTCCTTGTGCCCTCCTGCAATGCCCTTCCTCTCACCTCTGCATTTTGAAATCCCACCCATTCTCGAAGACTCGGTCTGGTCACCTACGTTAAGCATTTTCCTCGTGAGGCATTAGTCTCTGCTCTGGAATTTGATAACAATATTGTCTTGAAACCTTTATTTTGTTTATCTTTACTATATTTGTTTGTGCATTCACTATATTCGTATATTGAGGGCAGGGACTAAATTAATTTTTTTTTTTTTTTTTGCATTTCACAGTAGGTTGCATTTACTAGGCACTCAATAAAGAGAGTTTTCAGATGAACATTGCGTCCTACGTTGTGTGATTATTAATGATTTAAGTGCTGAAACTCTGACCTCGTTTTTCTCTTTCCTTTTTATAGGCGAGAGCTGTTTTGGCAAAAGTTGGCTATCCTGAGTTTATAATGAATGATACTTATGTTAATGAAGACCTCAAGGCAGTAAGTGCTAAATATACTGTATTTTTGTTTCTTGGCAACTTTTACTGGCTTCATGCCTTTCAACTAACCCAAGTCCAAGCACTTAAACGAGTAGTGCCAGAAAGCACCAACTTTTGATTCATCCCTTGGCTAGATATGAACTCAATATGCCAGGCGTATCACAAGATTTAGAGCAGATTCAAAATAAAGGAAGTGTCAGAAAGAATGCATAGCTGAGTGGGTACCATAAAGCGCATGGACCTGGATTCGGTCTGATTTGATCATAAAGGAAAGAATTAAGCAAATTGAGTATTTTACAATTAGTGGCCACGTTCTAATGTAAAACACATGATGTTTGTTGTTAAACATTCTTTATGTGCTTCATTCATACTAAATGACTAGTAATAAATCTGCCTGCTGGGAGTTAACTTCATTAAACTTTATGAGTGTTTTGGCAGATTAAGTGCACATACATATGACTCTATAATTTACTATGAGTTGGACTGTATATTTGCAGTAAGTTACTGATGGAGGAATAGTAATAACTCTTTTGTATTCTGATATTTTGGGACATGCATTTTCCAGTAGATACATTCATTACAGGCCTTTCTAATCATAACCACTGTTACTTCCTTTCCTACAAATAGTTCTGATAAAAAACTTTTCTTCCTCACAAAACCCCCTGTTTTTACCATTCACTATGCTTTCTTGAAAAAGTAGTTTTCTAGAGTGTAGTAAGTAAGGCTCTGAGATGTAGGTCTTTCCTGAGATTGTGATTTGACAAGTCACATAAGTAAAAGCAGTCCTAGATTTGTAGATGAACATCAGAATTTTATAGGATTATTCAAAAGTGAGAGAAAGCTTTCGTTATAAAGTTTCTCCATTGGTCCCAAGATATGGCCTTCCAAAGTATTTCTCCGGCTGCTCTGCAGGAGAATAATATGCTTCAACCCATCTTGTACATTGTTTTGTTGCGGAAAAATCTCAGTATTATTATGATAATTAAAAATACTGACGCACTTGATACATATGTACATTATATTGTAACCTCCAGAGTAAGCCTGTGAAGTAGATGGCGTTTATCCCCATTTTGCAGAAAAGGACGTAGAGACTCAAAGATGTTAAGTGATTTCCTCAGTGTCCTACATAGTGTCAGAGCCAGGACTGAAATCCAGGCCCAGAAAGCTCTGCCTATAATCAGAGCAGGGGTTCTGCAAGGTCCTTCTCAGGCACCTGCCCCAGAGGAAGACTGGTGGGTTTAAAGAATTGGTGGGAGCTGCTTTCCCAGAGCTGGTTGGGAGGGGAGAAGAAAAGAGGGAGGTCATATTGTCAAGTGGTTAAGAGCACAGGCCTTGGAGCGCTTCTGCCTTTTCCACTTACTAGTCGTTTGATCTTGTGCAGGTTCAGTTAGCTTCCCTTTGGTTGTTGGGTATTGGTTTACAAGCTCCTCAGGAGCTTCCTGGGGGTAATCTGAAACTGGCCCTGGTACTTAGAAGGCTGGGAGAGACTGAAGAAAGAGGCAGGCCCCTCCAGGTTGGTAGGTGGTAGGTTTCATAAGCCAAGGGAGCTTACACACAAGGGCAGCAAGACGAGTGGATCCCCGCACCTGCTGGCCAGATTTTAAAAGTTTATATAGAGGCCATAACTAGGTTCAGTCATGTATACTGTGCAGGTGTTCCCCACACCACATCCCTATCTCCAGGCTGTGTCCTCGGAGCAGCCCCTGGGAGCGGGAAAGGTAAGCAGAACCCACATTCCTGGGTATAGGGGGTGGGGAGCCTCGGACTGCCCAGGTCCAGCTCACAGGTCAAGTTGTAGTCAAGTCTTTGACGACCTTCTTCAACCCTCGGTACTGGAAATAATAATAACCAAGACTTGGTATTGTTGGGCGGATTAAATGAGAGTATATAAATGTGAAAGCACCTAACATAATGTTCTGGCACATAAGTAGGTTCCTTATAAGTGCTAGCTGTTACTTTGTGGATCAGTATGAGGACCATCGCTGCTGAGAAGAGCATCACTGGGGCACAAAATGCCTTAGAAGGAGAGCCTGGATGAGCTGGGCAATTATTCCAAGTCAAGGATGCAGATGAGAAGGTGTGAGAGGTATTTTGGTGTAGTGGTTATGGGCACAGGGCCTGGAATCGAGGTGCCTGGAGTTATATCCCTAGTCTGCCATTTACTAGCCGTGTGACCTAGGGTAGATTATATAGCGTCTCTGTGCCTCAGATTCCTCATATTAGAATGGAGTTGAGAATAATAACCGCTCCCTTACAGGGCTGCTGTGAAGATCAGATAAGTTAACATATTTAGCATATTTAAAACGGACCCAGGCACGCAGTAAGCACAATCTAAGTGTTAGTTACGCCATCTTCAATTTGTACGTAAGAGATTATTTTGGTGTGGAAAAGTCATTATGAATTGACCTATGCACGATCCAGGTGCCTCAAATTGATTTAAAAGGCTATGCAGATGGAACAGTCTCAAGCTTTAATCAAATAAGATAGCGTTCAGGGCTCACTCACAATATTCAACTGATCAGGTTTTGTTGGCAGTCTGCTCTTGTCTAAAGCGAGTACCCAAAAATGTGAGTACTCGCTGAATGCAGTATCTTTTGTGAAGAGAAACCAGATGCCAGACAGGCTGCAGTATTAGGTGGGTTTCCTTGTTTCTCCAGGGTCTGAACTGAAGCCATTACACACCAAGATTTTTAAGCACTTTTGTCAAGAAACAGCTTTTGTCTGACTCATAGCCAGAGTAGACCCAGATGCACTGAAGAGTTTCTAACAGTTTAAAAAAAGAGACGGTGAAAAAACATCCGAATACTGAAATCAAAGTACATTTGTGTTCAGAAATGGATAGAAAAAATGAATAAAACCCAACCTGAATATAGGTAAAGGATGCTTGATGTGATAGACAGTAATGGTGTCACCACGGTGAATAGCAGTAGGACTAGAGTATTACCGGTATACAATACGGCTGTGTTTTCAGTTTTGAGAAACACGTAGATAAGGACTACTATAGGGTCTGTGAGAAATTTCTGGTAATACAAGCTCTGAGCTTGAGAGGCTGTTAGAAATGAAAAACAGCTTACTTTCTTTGACGCAAGCAAAGATATGCTTCATCAGGCAGAAACGCAAAGGAAAGAGGATAGAGATTAGGTAACGGATCAGATGAAGGTCAAGGAGAAAGGCTGAAGACTGAAGTTGGGCTCATGTGGAGATAAGAGCAAATGGAAAAGAATTCGAGAAAAGGGCGCCTGGGTGGCTCAGATGGTTAAGCGTCTGCCTTCAGCTCAGGTCGTGATCCCGGGGTCCGGGGATCGAGTCCTGCATCAGGCTCCCTGCTCAGCGGGGAGCCTGCTTCTCCCTCTGCCCCCCCCCTTCTGTCTCTCATGAATAAATAAATAAAAAATCTTAAAAAAAAATTCGAGAAAAAAAAATTTCCCCCCTCTGAGATTGACTAGGTAAACCGAGATGCCCAGCCAAGTATTTCTGAACAACAGTCTTACTTTAGTCTTTGAAAAGAGCAGGAAGAGAGGAGATGCCCTTTGTGTGAACCCCTGCTAGCATGCGGGGAGAACCTACTGGTTAGCTTTAAACACATAGGCGTCGGTCCGTTTTCAAATTAGCCTTACAGAGTATGCCTTCATGGATCCTTCATGAAGATAGACTCAAGAGCAAGTTGATGCCAGTTGTGGAAAGGTTGCTGTATTAGTCAGGAAAGCCGGAACCACAGTAGGTATTTCAAAGAGAGGAGATTTAATAGGAAGAGGGGCTGAAGATTCTTACAGCATCATTGTCAGAAGAAAGAGGAGAGAGAACAAACACAGCGTCCTTTCCCTTTCTGCCACCTGCTGATTTCACCCAGTGCCTCCTGTTGGCAGGAAGCCAACTGGCACTCGGGCCTGGGAAATAAAGTTTTCAGATTTCCTGCCCCATTGTTCTAGAACAGAGTAGAAGGGTGGGCATGTAGCTGAGAGACAGTAGGTAAGTAATTGGCCCCACTTGGTATTTCACTCATTCTTGTGAAAACCAGTGGAGAATTGGAGTAAGGGCTGAAGTCAGAGTCCCAGCTGGCCTCTATTTACTTAGGAGAATTGGATCTGGGTACTTTTTCAGAGAAGATCAATGTTTCTGGTGAGTGATAAACACATCAATATGCATATAGAGATATACAGATGTGTGAACCTGCATAATATTCTCTGGAGTGGATCTTGGTCTGCTCTAGCCAGTGGAATGGGCATGTGTGTGTGTGTGTGTGTGTGTGTGTGTGTATCAGTGACAGAGAGTGGTACTGCCACTGTGCAAGAGTGAGGTGATGTTTAGGTGACATGCTCCAGAAAAACAGGTTGCTAAAATATTGAAGTAATTCTGTACGATAGGTAAAGAAACAAAAGAAAACATTGTCCTAAGTTCAACCAAGTTATCTCTGGCCACCATGGCCCAGAAGAGCCAAAAGTGGGCACTGGAGGGGAGTGCCCTTGTACCCACCAGCCTTCCAGCTAGTCTTCCATAACTCCCACACGCTGGCCTCCATCTTGAGCGTTCCCTTCGCAAGAGCAGACCAAATTGTCCCCTCACCCCCAGTGGTGGCTACAGGGCATCTGGTTCCTTGGTGGTGTGCCAGCTGGCGCTCCTCAGAGTCACCCTTAAGTGGCTGCTTGTGGGAACTGCATCATTCACAGTGTACCATATATGTAAGCTGTTAAACAGTTTGAACATTGTCTCTATCCAGGCATGTATATATGTACACACACAGAATACTTACGGACAAAGCTGTCTAAATGTAGCAGTCCTACGTATTTGCTATAAATAAGGGAAAACATAAGTATAAAATCTGAATTCCGTTTTGTTTTTAGAAAATTCTATGAGTACCTAACATAAAATCTTTCTTACAGATACTCAGATATATCTCTGAATATCTTTAAATGGATTTAACTTAAAAAGTGTTCTAGAATCTCTTTGTCCTATTGGCTCACCTAGTGTTTTATCAACATGTACTTACCCTACGGAGAAGCTGAACACATTTCCTTGTTCCGTTCCTCACCTTTGAGGGGTGATAACAGCTTTATACCTTTAGTCTGTGACACTTGATGCATGGTATCCTGGATAGGATTTCCAGGAAGAGAAATTCAGATTCCCCTGAATTTTAGGATCTGGACGGCTATTCCTAGGACATGACACAAGAGCCCCAATGAGTTTCCCAAAGATCACCCAATTGAAAAGTCAGGAGATGTAAGTGATTGAAAGTCATTATCAGCTTGACCTACATTTTCACCAGTAATGGATAGGACAAGAGGCTTTCGAGCCAATTATTGTCCCTTGCACAGTTTAAACCTTTTTTTTTTTTTTTTGGAGATTACAGGTGGTTTTCAACTACTCATGTACATTTGTTCTTGTTGCTGTCTCCACAAATGGAACTTTCCCAGTGGTAGCTGGGTTGGAAAAACAAGGGCCTGTTGAAATATTTGCACTTATCAAAGTATTATCACATGGTGGAAAATTTGGGAAATAGAGAAAAGGCATGAAAAAGCCCCCATAATATTGGTACTGGAACATAATACATACTTCTGTTTCACCATGTTATCTTGTCTTTCAATTTTGGTATTGCTGAAATTAACGCTGTGTATAATTTTGTATATTGACCTTTACCATTAACCTGTTGTTTTGGCCTTGACTTCCCTAGCCTAATTAGCATTATTTTAACAGCTATACGATGTTAAGTAAACTACCATCGCTTATTTAATCACCGCTTCTCCTCCCAAATTCTTACCTTTGCTTCCTCTTCCCCTGTACTGTTTCTGTCCATTCACCGTTTTTCTTATTAGGACCAATGAAAGGAACATTGGAGTTAGGAGCCTCATGATTTGAACTGTATGGCTTTGCCAAGTTCCGTAATCTCTTCAGCTCTTTTCCTCATCTATCATTTGGGAATAACAGGGGCTGGCCCTTCCCTACCCCCGAACACTTAACCCACGTCACAGGAAAAGGTAAAATTTTGTCCCCTGTTACCTATGATTTCCATTAAGTAAATGGAATAGATCAATTAAATTAGGTTAAGAAATAGCAAATATTCTGTTTAATAATTAAAACAATCTTAAAATTGTCTTTCAAAATAGAGATAAGCCATTGGCAAATTGTCATTACCTGCTCTTAGTTTTGCTCCCCATGATTATTTTTATGGCAATGATAGGATCTTATTTATTTTAAAGTATTTTTTTTTTTTTACTCGGAACTCTTCTTTTTAAGGAAATTTTTGGATGGTTTTCCATTTAATGTCTATAAAACAACCTGGATATCAAGTTTTTTTTTCAAATGGAACAGGAATGTATCACAATTAGCAGACTCTTCCAAGAGAAACAACTGACCCCACTGTTATCACCAAAAAGAAAAGTTAATATTTTTGAAGGGAATTCCCTTGAGAGAATGTCCCAGAAAGTGTTGTGAACCCAAGAGCGTATCTGAATTTTTCATCAGTTACACTCATATTCTAAAGGTTCTGTCAGAGCTGTCTTGGGAACAAAAGCGAAAAAAAGGCTAAGCGTTGAACAGTGGACACATCTTTTAACTATATGACCCAGGAATGCATTAGGATGTTAGTTAAGGCTGCTTGCTAAAACAAGGGGCTTACCCTCTTTCTTCTGAGGTTGAGTATAAACTTCTATTTTTAAATACAATCAATTGTAGGATTTTATTTTGAAGCATCTCAAACACTGGAAAATATATAAAGTCCTATTTTGAACACCTCTAGCTTTAACAAATGTTGAACATTGCTGTATTAGCTTTATAATGCACATACGCATTTGAAATGAGTAGGATAAACTGGAAATTCTTTTTGTAATCCACCTTGACCTAATAATGTTTTTTCTTCCTGCCTACCTCCTTCCCTAGATATAAATACTATCTGGAATTCAGTGTTTATTATTCCCATGTATTTCTTTATGCTTTTGCTATATAGGTATGTATCCATAAACAACATACAGTATCATTTTACATGATTTAAAACTTTAAATTCACTCATACATACAATTTGGCTTATTCACTCAGCATTGCTTTTGAGATTATTTCATGTTCATGCATACGTACCATTCTTTTAATCTGCTGTATTATTTTCCATTATGGAACTATACCACAATTTGTTTATCAGCCACCCCTCTAAGAGGCTTGAAGGAGGGGCAACTTAAAGTCAGATCTTTATAACTGGTTGGTCAGGTAGAACACCAAAGATGCCAGGAATTGATACTTGCATTCCTGCTTTTCTCCCTGTGCCTTTAGTTATTTTTCCTCCTTCCTTTATATTTTGGCCTGATCCCCTGGAAAGATCAAGATGAATTATTAACAAAAGTTACTCCATAGATATTTTTATAATGAGTATCAATCATACGTTAGGGAAGAGCTAAACATGAGCCAGATGTAGATGACTGTCAAGTCTATAGCCATCAAGTTGTATGTGTGTATTCATATTTATAATGTAAGACCTGTGGGTTTCACATACATGCATTTGCTATATTTTAATTTTTGCTTTTAAAAGAGTATGGTTTAACTTTACAAAAAAAATTACAGGTAGTAAGATTTTGATTCCTCTTGGTATTTGCTTATTCAAACATGTATTTTTCTTATTTTATTTGCCACAGTAGTATATATTTTTAAAGATTTTTATTTATTTATTTGAGAGCACAGAGGGAGAGTGAGAGGGAGAAGCAGACTCCCCACTGAGCAGAGAGCCCGATGCAGGACCGATCCCAGGACCCTGAGATCATGACCTGAGCCCAAGGCAGACGCTTAATGACTGAGCCACCCAGGCACCCCAGTAGTATATTTTCAAACCAAAGAATTAGCCATCACTTCATCCCATTGCTTTTACTGTTACACAGATATTGTTTGCAATATTTAGGTTAAGTACGGCTAGTTTTGTAGATAGAATGCCTAGAGAATTTAAACTGTTTGCCATTCTCCTTCCAAAAAAAGAAAAGGAACTCAGGAATCATTTATGTCTGTTTCCCTATTTTAATACACAAATTGTTGTGACGCATCAACTTCCTGTTTTTCTATGCAAGCTGTAATCTACGATTCGCCTCTGTAATTTCATTAATTTTTAGAGACCAGAGAATTTTTTGAGTGGTAATAGACAAATTCTGTTAATAATGAAATGATTCTAGTGACTCCATTGTGCTTAGCGGGGAAAATAAGTCTCTGAATCACTTTCATTGTTTTCCCTTCATGAACAAATGCTGATTACAGTAAATTGGATTTTAACATTTGACTAAATCATCATCTATAAGCTAAATGAGGTTTTAGCTGACTAAACTGAATGTTATTAGGAGAACCTATGTGACAAATAAATAGAGTACACATTTTAGAAAAGATCAAGGACTCATGTGAGCCAGGAAATTTCAAACCTAAGAGGATATGTCCTATAAAGTTTAAAGTAGATTTTTCAATTACAAAGTGAATGAAATGCATCATAAATTACTGCAGCATCTCTTGTTTTTTACCGTGATCCAGAAATAATCATATCGATTTGGGGGCTTTTTCTTTTAAAAGAAAAATCACAGAGATTAAATTTCATGGCTCTGTGGATACTGGGTTAACTGGTGATGGCTGAGAGGTGTCCTGAGGAGTGTAGCTTTTCCGTTGGTTGCTCATTTGTGTGCTGAAGACTTTTTTCAGGGCCCTCTTTTATCTGCACTTGGAACAATGATGGTTGTGGTTTGTTTTATTTAGATCAAGTTTTCAGAATTCGACTACTTTGGCAATGTCCTGCAGACCCGCAAGTACTTAGCACAGTCTGATTTCTTCTGGCTGCGAAAAGCGGTTCCAAAAACAGAGTGAGTAAAAACCAAAACCAAAACAAACAAAACAAAACCCAAAAGGAAAAGAAATAAATATGCTGATGGGAAGTGAAGTCTCCTCAGGTCAAACTTGGTCATTCCCCTCTGGTCAGAGTAGCCGGCTGGCCAGTTACCTTGGTTCGGCAAAACCCGTGTTAGGTTTCGATAACTCTTATTTCTGATATTATATGAATCACATCTTCATTCTGATGATGGCTGCCCCACTCCTAGCCCCGAAACGTTGCAAGAGGGCTTATTAGGATACAAATGTTCAAGTTACTTCTAGATGTAGTTATGAATCTATGTACATAGAAAACAAGTTTCCCTAGAATTTCACACTCAGGTGGAAACTTTTGAAGATCTTAAAAAAGAACAGATGCTTAAAAAATCAAGTATAGTTACAAATGTAGAAGTAATTGTATAATTATGAAGTAACCAGAAGATTTTGTCAAAGTAATAAATGTCAAAGAACTGATAGCTGTATTATTTTTCTCCAGTAGCAGTTAGGATTTATTCTCCTCCTTCCCTGCTGCCTGTAGGGAATGTCCCTCTAGGTAGGAAAGTTTCCCGAGGAACTTTCTGGGCCAGGGCCAGCCATGATTTCCTTCCCTAGCAAAATGTGTATGATGATGATACTGATTGCAGCCCGCAATTATGTTCACAGTGTGCTAGGGAGTGCTTTACCTGTTCTAACTAATTTTATCCTCTCGTCATTTCTTTGAGGCGTAGGTACTATTAATAAATAGGACCATCCCCATTTAACAAATGAATAAGAGGCTTAGAGTTGAGAAATCTTTCAGCTCAGGTTTACATTACTTTTTAAAAAATTTGATTACTTGACAGTATACTTGACACAGTGTTACATGTGAGGTTTAGATTACTGTTTGTTCTGCCTGCTTGTACGTCTGACACTGTCTGCTGGGGCCCGCTTCTCCACTGCTTTCCTCCCTGTTCTCCAGATTGGATAATTTCTATTGCTCTGTCTTCAAATTCATTGATTGTTTCTTCTGCATCGTCAAATTTGCTTTTGACCCATGTGACGAATTTTTCATTGTGGTTATTGTACTTTGCAATTTCAGAATTTCCATTTGGTTGTTTTTTAGTTTCTGTTTCTGTGTTGTGATTTCCTTTCTTGACTGCCTGTCTTTCTTTCTTCCTTCTTTCCTTCCTTCCTTTTCTTTTTTTTTTTAAAGATTTTATTTATTTGAGAGAGAGATGGAGGGAGAGAGAAAGAGAGAGCATGAGAGGGGAGAGGGTCAGAGGGAGAAGCAGACTCCCCATTGAACAGGGAGCCCGATGTGGGACTCGAT